GCGTGCGCGCTCTCTGTCCCAGTCTGTCGCCTTGTCTCTGTTTGTCCGCCGGCCTGTATGTCTGTCTCTGTCTCTCTCTCTATAAGTCTGTATTTGTGTGTGTGTGTGTGTGTTAATATTTCTGAGCGCTGTCAATATGTCAACGAAACCTATATGGAGAAGAGTGTCATCCAAAATGGTCGAGTGATGAATATGAATATTTTTTTTGGTGAATGGAGAGACCAATAAAGCTGAATTAGTAAAAAGCCAGCTATGCTGCAGGTTGTTGCTTTGCGTCTGCGCTGCAATTTGCGAGTTGAAGACAGCCCTTCGACGAAAATCAGAGAGGATTCTTCGGCAATTGGAGTTAAAACTCAGTGGAAGACGGAGGTGAAGGAGGTCACGACTGGTGTGAGAGGAATGCTGAAGAGTGGGATGAGCCTCAGGTGCAACGACGGCGCAGATGAGATTAAGTTGTGCTCTACATCCACTGAAGGTACTCTGCTAAAGGAGGCTCTGGCAACAAGACAGATCGTACGGAGTACAGAACGGCTGAGCTGTGAAAGCGTGAGAATGAACAGTCAAGAAGAGGGAGCAGTAAGGAAAATGAAGGCAGAAGGTGGGAACTCACAGACAGATACCCAACAGCCAAGGAGAGCGGGAGCTGCAGCCTGTCCTATTCCAAGCGATTTGCGAGAGCAGAGAGGAGTGGAGGAGGACTGCGAGGAGGGCGATGAAGGAAACAGCGAATCTTTCTGGAAGGAGCTGCAACTGTACGGTGAGGTTGCGAAAATGAAGCTGAATATTCCAGGTGTGTGTTCTGCACTTGCCTAGAGTTTTCCTATATTGCATGTTCGCTGTGCATGTTTGAGATCAACTCGTCCCTTGGATACACTATATGCTTCTGAATTCGTTTGAACTTTGAGGGAAAAAAAAAAAAAAGGAAAAAAAAAAAAACAGAAAAAAAAAAGAAAAAAGAAAAAAGAGCAACGCCTTATAGGTTGAATGATTATGACTCCTGTGAGAAAGAAGTCTATAAAAAAACTGATTTCAAAGTTTAAATTTTAAACCTGTTGGCATCACTTGTATCCGCTTTTGAATGTCTTCTGCTCAACTAATGTCAACAGAACCGATTTAAAAACCGATTTTGAAGTTTAAAGTTGAAACCTGCTTAAACAACCACTCCAACTGCCTCTGCACTGGTCATTTTTCTTGTCTGCAAGTACCGGGTCCAAATCTACCGGGCCCAGGCCTGGTAGAGGCTTGGTGGGGTAGGGTACCACAGTTATTTTTCCTCATCATGATGGTGGGACTGTAGATTTTAGGCGCGGGGAAATGCAACTCTTTTTTGGTTTGTTAAAAAAGAAAAACAGGTTTGGAATCTTTGGATGGAGAGGTGGTCTAACTATGGATCCTTGTACTCCGTGCTTGGATAAACGACCGGTACATGGCCCCAGGGAACTTGAGAATCACGACTGAGTGACTCCGAAAAAAAATCGGAGGCTCGGGGCGACCGGACCAAAATGGCTGGCCGCACCCCAGCCAAAATGAGAACAGAAACGCTGCGGTGGCGCTTTTGGGAAGCTTGGCACGCAGGGGGGTTCAAGGCTCGTGAATCTAGCCTCGGATGTACCCCCCTGCGCACCAGTTTAGATCACCGGTACATGACCGCAGGCATGTTCAGAAAACGAGAGAGCCTCTCCGAGCCGCTCGGCGGCTAAGGGCAACCAGACAAAAATGGCTTGCGACCCCAGCTAAATCGGAAGCAAAAACGCCACGCTGGCTTTTGGCCAAAGCTTGGTGCGCAGGGGGAAGAAGCCGCCAGCCTCGGATGTACTGGTGGTCTATAAGAGAGTCCGCTGGCAAAAAAAAAAAAAAAAAAAAAAAAAAAAAAAGAGGATAGTCCGCTGGCAAACACACTAATTTCAACACCTTTGTTGTCAACTCCACCCTTTCTTTTTTTTTTTAACTCCACAGTTTTCCAGCCCTATCTCTATGTGGAGTTAACTCCATGTAGAATGCTCTGAACTCATTTTGCAGTCATCTCTGTGCGCAGCCAACTCAATCGAAAGTCAACCCTATGTATAGTCAGCTCCACATAGAACGCAGGGTTGCTGACTAAGTCTGGATTTTCAGTCAACGCTATGTGTAGTCAACTGTATGTGTAATCAGCTCTTCATTGATGCATAGAGAATCAATGAAGCTAGTATCATTGACTAATTTCATCGAACTTTCACACATTAAAATCGATGAAGCTGCAGACACAAGTGTGGTATAGAAGTCAGCTCAATTTGCAGTCAACTCTATGTAAAGTCAGCTCCACATAGAAGATAGAAGTCAGCTCCACATAGAATGTAGGGTGGTTGACTTAAGTATGGATTTTCAGTCAACGCTATGTGTAGTCAACTATATGTGTAATCAGCTCTTCATTGATTCATAGAGAATCAATGAAGCTAGTATCATTGACTAATTTCATCGAACTTTCAAACGTTAAAACTTAAAATCAATGATGCTGCAGACAGCAGTGTGGCATAGGCATAGACACTCGCTCATTCCTTTTCCTCCCTGCTCAGGGTTGACTTTGGCAAACCATCTGGCACTCGTATGACAAATCTATATATATGTATATATATCGTCAATCGGAGCTGCTGCCCGGTAAACCGTAGGCAGAGCGGGAGAAGAGGACAACAAACGAGGGGCTGTGACAAACTGTTTCGTCGGAGTTTCACCGACTGACTCATCAGGAGGCTGAACCCTCAACAGTCTGCAGAATTCCCTAACTGATTACACTGTAAGTGATAATCCACCTTAACCACGGTTGTGATTAAGCATCAACGACTGCCCGATATCCCTCGGAGGTGAGCACCAACCGCTGCCGTCAAGGTACCTGTGACGAAAATCAAAGCAGACTATCACTCATCCACACCACAGACTGTGGGTTCACACCCCATCACAAGCCAGCAGAACACTCACGAAACGAAGAAAGGTCTGTCACAGCCAGAAAATACACTTCAGACACGCCGCTGGCACTAGAGGCACAGCATGGCCGCGTAGTGACGGTCCCTATATATATATATATATTGTGTGCTCTGTGTGTGTGTGTGTGTGTGTGTGTGTGTGTGTGTGTGTGTGTGTGTGTGTGTGTGT